ATATAAATTAAAATATACAAAAAATATAAATAATTTACTAGGACAAATTAGTTTTTTTATTATATTCTGATATTTTTTCAAAAAATGCTGAACAAATTAATATTTCATTTTATTATATCTAGATATTAAAAATACCCTTAAATGTTATTTATAACATTGGGGACCATTGGGTACCTGATCTTCTTGAATTTATCATATAGTCGTCTTGAAAATAGAAGGCAAGATGTTGTGCTACGAATCTATATAAAATAATATATCTCTTTCGAAAAGGGTCAACTTCCATTTATTTATTATTATTAAAATCAACGGATAATACTTTTAGAAATGTTTTCTAGATTGAAGTAATGAATGCTTATCTTAATTCATTAATTTACATTAAAGTGTTTAATTTAAATTTAATATTAAAATATTAACTAGGCATATTAAGTTAACTCATCTATACTATATTATAAAGTGTTTGATAAAAAAACTCTTGAAAATCATTTTTTATGTATAAAGTACTGTTTATTAATGCATATTACTTCAAATTCAAGGTTACAAACAAAATGTGTAAGTACAATTTATTAAAACTTTATGTTTGAATTCATGTAACTAAATGCAAATAATTTTAATCAAATACAAGATAAACGTTTCATTTCAAATATAATCAGACTCGTGAACCTCTTCAAGGAAATGATAGCAACGTTAGAAAGAAGCGGTTCATGTTTTAGTTGATGAGACATATGTATTTGTCGTTAATTTGTTTTGTCCAATAACAAATAGTCAAATTTTTGTTATATGAAACAAATTCACTTGTTTTTCATATATATTATTAATAATAAATTAACTATTATAATTTTTATTATTGTTGTTTTTATCATATAAACCATGACCGGTTCATGATGCAAGTGAAGTTATATGAAATTTACAAGAAAAAGAATACTGATACGGGAAAAAAACTGATGTGACAAAATCGTAAACTTATAAACAGATTATATTTGCAAATGATGTTAGTGCATACAGTTCTGGGACCTCCCGCCAAAGATGCGGCCCCTATGTTAATGCAATAGGTATGGAGCCCTTGACCGTCATTTTATGGGGATTTAGCTTATAGGGATTTATAATCAACATCACCTAGCTAGCTCATACTAAAATTTAACCCTAAACACCATTGATCTCATGTTAATTATCATTACACCAAAAATGTTTTATAATACTGAAATCACCGAGAATAGGTTGTGCATAACCCTTATTTGTTATGTTTAAGGATGAAGATGTATTTAAGTGAAAAACTACAAGATGCAAAATTTTCAGAAAAATGTAGTTTACAGTGATTATTTCAATTTTTATTAACAAATTAGATAGACAAGAAATGGAATAAACTGATCGAAATAGGACGAGTACTTAATATATAACAGCTTTTACAGTTGTTTTACTAAAAAACTAACTTGTTCTGTTAACTAGATTATTATTTTAACAAAATAACATTTACCGTCATTTTTATAGTTATTTATAAAATTAGAAAAACTTGACGATATATATATTAATATGTTTGTTTAAAGCCGAGCCAACCTATGTTGAAAGTTACCAATTTTTGATCCAATAATTCAATACGTGAACAGTGTGTCTGTACTAAAAATCAATATTGGCTGCTAATGTTTCACCTTTAAAGCAAAACCAAAAAAAAGAAAACTATGGTGGCGTTTGGTTCGTAGAATGTTTTTAGATGGAATGGAATCTGTCAAAGGAATTTGACTTTGAAGGAATTAGAATGGAGTGTTATCAGGTTTGACCACCTGTTTGGTTGACAGAATTGGAATGAAATCTATTAAAGGAATTGGAATATGTCTGTTTGGTTCACAGAATGTAACTTTGGAATTGGAATGAAATTCTGGTAAATGACTAAAATACCCTTTTTTGATAAATTAATTTTTTTAAACTTAAAATTAATTACTTTAATTTTTTTAACTAGAAATACTTTAATAAAATAATAATTAAATATTCTAGTGTGTAAAACAATATAAAAATACACAACTCAAATATAACCATAAACCAAATGACGTTACTTAATATTAAAATACACAACTCAACTCATATCTTGCCTCCTGCTSGCCAACGCCCTCAATTAAAGAAGCCCACATGGATTATCATATTGGTTTCTTTGCATGTTCAGTTGTTGTTTATGTTCATCCACCTCAAGATTCTACTGCCTGCTATATCTTTTCTTCTTCTAGTTGTAAGACCATTTACTCTACAGCTAATGCCCTCTTTACATATTACTCTATAGCTAATGCCCTCTCTACAACTCAAATATAACCATAAATCAAATGACGTTACTTAATATTAAAATTGCTTCAAAATCCATCAAACTTGTTCAAAATAATTACATGCCACTAAAGCATGTTTAAATACATGTTCCAAAAGCCATTAAACATCAATAGTTTTAAAAAAGAGCTAAACCATCAAGCACAATCATTCTTGCAAAATGTACCTCACAAACTCTTCTCGAGCTTCTCCTTCATAGTTCCAAAAGCTTAACACGGATTCTGGTTCACGTGTTATTTTTCTCAGTGCTTTAAACTTTTCCATTGAAGTAAAATTCATTTTGGCGAGTTCAGAACCAACCGTGGAAGTCTTTTGATGTAAATCTATCTCAACTTGCACCAACTTGTCTGATGATTTTAAAAGTCTATCTCCAAGTATGGTAGCCGCATTATTTATTGCATCAACAACAGGATCACCTCGACCCTTGCGCTTTCTATTACCTTGAGATGTACACTCTTTACTTGGCATTTGGCTATCTTCTGTCGGATAGTCCAAGTTTTCATCAGATTCTTGTTCTTAAAAGGGCATTTGGCCATCTTCCATGTCAGCATTTTCTTCTAAACCATCATAGTCTCTTACTTGATTTCCATGAGCACGATCTTTTCTAAAAACATAAGACAAGTCTTCATAATGAGGGAATGGTTTGTTTCTTCATTTTTAAGCCTCTTTGTGTTTTGCAAAAGACATAGAAACGTTGAAAAAACAATTCTTAACATGGTAATATGTAATACATAGTAATACGTACCTGCAAGTAAGACTCCCAAACTGACGCCTCGGCAGTCACACACGTTTTAGAACTATCATAACCAAAGCCACTTGTGTTCGTACCATGTAGTATATCGTGTACGATTTGCCAGTCCTTTTTCATGGTTTTTATTCTTGACTCGATGTGTGGTTTACCTAATAAATTAGAACCAGGAAGCGACACTTTCAATGCTTGTTCCAAATGTTGCAAGTATCCGGATTTAAAGCCATTATCAGCTTTATATCCTCCAACATTGACCATATTCACCAATGCATCAACAAGTTTTCCATCTTCGATTTTTGACCAATYATGATACTTACGCCCATTGATTTTATCCGCCATACCTAATATTAAAAAATCAAATTGTACCATTATATTTAATAACGATAAAGATGTAATTATACCATTAAAATTAATAACGATAAATATAAAATTGTACCTAACATATATAATTTAAAATTGCARTCATTATATGCCAAATAGAGTGATTAAATGAAAACAAATTGYAGATTCTTGAAAGGAARACTCCACCCAGTCATGGCAGACAATTTCTATTTTAGTTTTACATTAAATGATAAAGCATTCCATAAGTAAGATTTCAAAGGACATCCACATCATTATCAATATCATCCACATCATTGTAAGATTTCTTATGCACCTACATTTGAACTAACCACACACAGGGTCTGTTTCACATTCACCTGTTTGTTCACAATAATAAAGAACAAACTCATGGTTCACCCTGTTTCACATACTTAATATTTAAGAGCAAATCGTACCATTATATTTAATAACGATAAAAGATCAAATTGTACCATTAAAACTAGTAACGATAAAGATGAAATTGTACCATTACAAACCATAAAAATGAAATTGTACTATTACAAACCATAAAAATAAAATTGTACTATTACAAACCATAAAAATTAAGTAGAAGCATTCCAATCATTAAACATACTTTGAGCCAAATTATTTCTAAATTCAGTCCACTCGGTAGAAGCACCTACGGAAGTGATATTATCTTGGTTTTCATTGTCTTCGGTTTCATTCRAGCAAGGTATGTTTTCAAACGGATCAATTGGCATTTCTTGTCTTATAAAATTATGAAGAAGACAACATGCCATTATGACCTTAACTTTGAGTTCAACAGGGTAGTATGAATTATCTTTTAAAATTCCCCACCTTGCTTTCAAAATACCGAAGCATCGTTCTATAACATTTCTTGCAGAAGAATGTCTCATGTTGAAAAATTCTTTTGGCGTAGTTGGTTGGTGTCCATCATGCCACTCATTTAAATGATACATTTGATCTCTATAAGGGGCAAGAAAACCCTCTCCATTTGTATACCCACCATCAACCAAGTAATAATACGGCTTTGGCACCTTCAACCCATTAG